CAATTTTCGGTGGCTGACATTTCGGTGCATCCCTAATTAGAATGATTGCAGAAAATGTACAATAGGTGACTGCACTTTACTTCCCTTACTAACCCTTCATTACATACCAGATGTCCCTTTAAGGAAGCTGGGTGGTGTGTAATGACTTGCCGCCTTGCTTGCTGATTGGCCAGCTTCTCGACCAATCAGCAAGCTGGTGAGTCATTACTTGCCGCCCGGCTTCACGATTTGCCAGGAAGCTGGCCAATCAGGAAGCCAAGCGGTGAGTCTTTGCCCGGCTTCCTGATTGGCCAGAAAGCCGGCCCCATACTTAATCACCTGCTGACAAGGAAGCTGGCATCCCGGGCCAATCAGGAAAATGGGGGGGCAAGTAATTATCCACCCCCTGGCTTCCCGATTGGCATGGAGCCAGCTCCATTACGACGGAGCATGGAGCCAGCTGTCCGGCCAATCAGGAAGCCGGGCAGCCTGTAAACACTTGTGGCCTGGCTTCCCGTTACCGGAACGTCTGGTATTGGAATAGGCATCGCGAGCATTTGGCCGAGTATAAGGACTCACCCAAATATTCGGTATCGGTGCATCCCCAATACATACACACACAGTATTTGGATGTATATACATAGTGCAGATGAACACTGCAGCCTAAAGGTGGTAGTGTTCATCTGCATGCTGAAGATCTTTTTTTTTTTTAGTGAACCCTCCAGCCTGCATGTGATCAGGAACCACTCTGTATGGTTCCTTATCATTAGTACCAAGATTTTACATTTATTCACATATCCCCAGCAAATGGCATCATGCTGGAGGGATGCTAATAAACAGGTTGTGCTTGTGTGGGGTTCAAGTAAACGTGTAATAGGTGAATTCTGGAGCAGCCATTGCCAATATTCCTTCTAAAAAATATAAGATGCTTGTTATGATGACTTACCAGCTTCTATACTTTGTTTTACTGATTAGAAACAAGTATGCAGATCAATAAAATCACACAAAAGTCATCATCTGCATACATGTTGTAGGTAGTAATTCAAAGTATCAAGGATCATAAGTATGACAGCCGCGGTGATAGCATTTTCTGGAGAGATCAGCAATGGAAGCTTCCATACTTTTCTTCCATTAGGCTTCCTTTAAAAATGCCAGTGCGTACTCTGATCTGGTCAGTCAGTCCCGAAGAGAGGAGAAAAAAAAAAAAGGCACCCTGGTGCAGGATTACTATGAATCAGTTACAAAATCTGACAGAAGATGCAATGACAATGGAGAGGTGGAATAATACACGCTATGTGTTTAACTGATGCAGGTTCCACAGAAAGAAGTCAGACTGTAAATATTGAACTGTACCTCAATTTATTTTGCCTCTTTACAGGAAAAAAAAAAAAGTCACATTTTTGTTTCCACAGTGAGATACACAATCTCAAAATATAAAGCACAACATTGTTGCAAATCAAGACTGGAAACAATTTGTTGAACAAAATACACTTAGTATACTAACATACTGTCAGTTTACATACACTGCAGGAACCTTTAAACATGTAAGGTTGCCCATTATAAGCCTTTTGCAAGATAAAATAAATATGGATATGTTTAGAAAACAGGAGAGAAGAGTTTCGGATACATGCGCCAGTTTCTAAATAAAAAGCAGGTAAACCCAACAATTTGGCATACAGTAGCCTACAAAAAAAAAAAAAGTGTATGTGTGGGGCAAAAAGTGCTTGTAGGAAGTCAGCAGCACATAGATAAACAAACCACTGGTCTTTTTAGGTTCTCTTGGACTGTGTATAGCACGGCACATTGTATTCTTTCACGCTATACATTAACCTTATGAAATATGTCGTTTGATCATAAATTATGTATTTGTAAATGCTTAACTCCAAGCATTTGTTTTTTTAAGATTAGTTTGTCATAATACCATACAGGACTACCACATTTTGTACACCCAGTATGAATATCATTCAGTAGCAGACAGAAAAGAGCATATACTGTAGGACCACAGTTGAGAAAATTGTGGGTTTTACATTTTTTCCTGTGCCAAGTGCTGTTCAGGGAGGAAACTACTATTAGTAATTTGAGCATCCAACTTCACCTAGCTGTAAGAGAATGCATATTTTAGGGGTGAATAGAATTATGCTGACAAAACTTATCAATTTTCTCTTAACCAGCCAGTAAGGTCCAAGAATTTATTTTTTGAAAATCCCCGTAAGCTAGTCGGGTGTAAAAATCAAAAAAGGTTTGCTAAACAGTCAATTACTCCTAATGTGGAATAATGTGAACCACTTTGTGAATGCAGCCTTATCAAATTACTGGGGTTGATTTGCTAAAAAAAATAAAAAATAATAAAATAAAAAGTAGTGGATGTTTACTGAGCTAAATAAAGGAGAAACTGTGTTTACTTCATTTAGCCAATCCTATCCTAGCAAAGTTTTTTTTTTTTTTTAACATTTTATTCACATACAACTGGGCATTCAAAGTGGACGCATGTTCAATTTAGGAACATTCACTTGGCAAGATAAACAGACTTTTTAGAAAAGCATCCCCATTGATTGATCATTTGACTGCATCTTACCCCCTACATAACCGGATGAAAAAACCTCTCCAATAACTGGGTACATCACCAGAAAATGGGAAAAATATGGGGTGTACAACTATAATAATAGGCTGACCTAGAACCTGATTGCCTTAGGAGGTATCAATAAATTACTGGGGATAATCAGGGACATGAAGCAACAAATAAATCAGTCATCCACAAATATACTAGGTTGATAGAAAATCTTGCCTGCTTATTGTTACTATAAATAAAATATAAAGATCCTTTCACTGCACTAAAGTTAGCCATTGCACCAAGCTGCCAGGAATAAATGCTGCATCACCTCACAATTTTTATCAATTGTTTCAGATAATCCTATAAGAAGTGCCCATTTATAGTTGCTCTAAGTAGTCTAACCCTGTGTAAAGCAAACCTGTCATAAGAAAAATATAAAAGGATGCAATTGATGACCTTCTAAAAATGCAATTTCTTTTGGCTTCAATAGGAGTCACTGACCTGGAAAAAGTATAGCTAGAAGAATTTCCAGCTTTTCTCTGGGCACCCAGTTGCTACAATCCGATTCTGGGTCAGTGACCAGATGACAGTCAGACATTAAGCAACCAATGGTAGCCCCCAATATCTCACTTGTAACAGTGTGGTAACAAAAACCACATGAAAATGTGGCATCAGCTACCTGTTCATCCATGTGCATTTCTGTTGCCGTATGATGCATGTGATACAAGCAAAATGCATGATGTCTAGCTATATAGTAAGCAGGACTGTTCACATCTGTTTCAAATACATTTTATTGCAACAAACACAGGTGTGATAAGGGGCCAGAAAAAGCAGCCGAAAACATGAGCATAAATGGGCAGCTGTAGCCAAAAACATTGTCCCACTAAAGACGTTACCAGGACGGAAAGTGGTGTTTTTAGGGGCTGGGGTGTCTCCATTGAAAACAAAGCAAAAACATGACAATTTTCCCCACTCTAAAATAGTTGACATCCCAGCTAATGAATTCAGGTGTTTGTGGAAGCCCTACCATATGAATTTGCCTTTTTTTTTTATTTTGGTGCACTAAGAAATAAAGCATGTTGATATACAAATCAAAAAGTTCACAGTGCTTGCCTTACTACCACCATTTTAGTAAGCCACCTAGGCAGCTGTTACACCTTTTAAATAGAACTCCCAGCAAAATCTTGAGAATTTTGTTCCCCCAGGATTTTACAGCTGTGGCTCCTTGTGTTCTCCATCAGTGACATAACAGGAAGGAAGGTGAAAGCAATATTATGACGCCCTAAAAAAATAGAGCTCAAAATGATGGACAGTTACTTTATCATACTTTCCATGACTTCAATCAGGTTCCATCTGCACCATTTTAAGGTTATTTCATCGGATCGGGGGTAATCTGATGTAAACGGACACATGTCTGTTTACATCACATTCCCCAAAGACCAACATTGGGTCTGGTAGTTGTTTTTTCCCCTCCATAGCAAGATGGACGAATAAACTGAATGGACGTCACAGGAGTGACATCTGCTCTATACTGCTGTGATCAGGAGAGGATCCTTGCCTGATCAGCCCCTGTGAAAAAGGGGCCTTAATTACATTTTCTGAAGCTTCACCTACAAGAAGTGTGCGAGGGAGAGACCACTTAAATTTGAAAACATGTACCAAGAGGAATATGCAAGCCTCCAAGCACCCCTAGTCACTAGGATTCAGAGATTGCAGGGCCAGCTTTCTTTAAATGATACGTGTAGTCATTTTACCATAAGATTTGTCATTGCCATGCATCTATACAATTAAACCCAACATACAAAAGTTATACTCAAGCAAAGCTTTTGGAGTGCAAACTTTTCTAGATGCAGGTTGCTAGAATAGTTACAGTAGCATTTACATCTTAAAAGAATGCACACCAATACACCCAATATTCCAATAATGGAATCAGAAACATTATTAAACTCCCAAATGTCCAGCAACAGATTGTGCTGGTTGGACCACGTACTCTGCCTATCCGTAATCACCAAATTCATCACTTTTGTTCAAACATAATGTGATGCTTGTAAGAATTTGGCAAGGGGGGGCTGGGGAAATTCGGATACGATGCTTTTAGGCCGATTTACATGCCAGTTACATGGTTGATTGCAGCAATTTAAAAAAAAACAAAAAAAACAAAAAAACACAACTATGTTCAAAACAGGGCATACCAAATTGATGAGGAATTGACCAAGAAAGCAGAATCTGTTCAAAACTTCCAAATTCCTTTCTGCAATCCTTTTTGGGGGAACAAAATAAAAAAATAAATTAAAAAAAAAAAAATTGTACTTGCAATTGTGGAGTGGAGAGCTGTGTACACAACTACTCATTAGCACACATGAAATTCACATCAGCACAGGCTATCCAGGCATCTTGATATTTAAGTACAAATGAGCTAAATGAAATGTTTTGCATTTCAAAAAAACAAAAAGTTGAAGTATCACCAACATGTTTGAAGTAGTACAGTTTATTCTCTTCCCATTTAAAGGCCATTGAAAAGCATTTACAGTTTCCCCAAGTGCGTTACAAGAAGAAGGGGAAAAAAAGAAAAAAAAAAGAAAAGAAAAAGAAAAGAAAAAAAAGCAGTAACAAAATAAAGCCGCCTTGTCTCCAGGCAACTAAACAAAAAGTCATTTTACTGCAACATATACACATTAAATATAGTATACAGTCCATGCAGCTGCTTAGCCATGTTAGAGGGGATCCTGGCTCCAGCCATCAGTGCATTACAGTCCATAATTCCCATTGTGCCTTTATCTAGCCAGATTTGAAAAGGAGAATTGCAACTTGGCCCAAATAGAAATAGATGAAGTGTTTTGTCTCATGTGTTACATAGCTGCCAAAGTTTCTGCCAACAATGCAGTGCCAAGTTGGGTTGTATTTCTTGTCAAATTCCTGCAAAAAAAGAAAAGCAAGATGAATGCAAAGGTAAAAAAGGTTACACTACTATTCAGCAAAGTACTGGCACAGACATCAGAACAAATATAGGTATGCCAAATGCTAAGGGCCAACAAAGTCCTAATCATAAAAAGGTAATGATTACCGCTCATAAAATGGCACCTAATGCTTTGTCTTATATTTTGCCTTTCTCCTTTTGAACCACACACACACACACACACACACACACTACTGAAATTACAGACCACTGGAATTACAGACCTCATTTTCTTTCCCTACCAAACATCCCAACTACATTTGTTTCACACGTTATTTTATACCCAATGATATCACTAGATCTTGGTGCTTCTCTATGCAATTCAGGCAGATCAAGGCTGGTAGTAGGGGCCTAGCAGGGTGCAGTACATAGCCTTCTCAAAATATATCACCCCGATTCAATACTCCTCTAAAAGTACTCAGCTCTGATGAAAGCAGTAGGCAAGATATCTAGCTGGCATATCAAAATGCTTTGATGAGTGAATATCTGTCTGGCAGAGTGGATGATTGAAAACTGAAAAGGGGCAGGCCAGGTATATTAAAGCTTTGGGAGAAAAGGGTTAGATGAAACTGGACATGCTCCAATCAGGAAATGAGGCAGACTACACCACATACTGTGAGAAGCTCAATGCACAGCAAAATAAAAATAAGCAATTTCTGTACTGGAAGCGAGCCAAAAATACTGAAGACAATGCTGGAATTCAGATTTAAAGTTAGTGCCATATGGTCTTGGAAAGTTTGTTCTAGGTCTACAATTTCTGCCATAGAAGCTCCCTGTGGTAAATTATATCCTCCCAACCCCCAGATCATGTGATGCCACAGAAAAAGCTTCTTAAACCCTACATAGATCTGCCTTGGAATTGCGAGGCATCAATTTATCCCCAAAAGAGTATTCTATATTTGCAAGATACCTTCTTGATATAGGCAGCAATGTCTTTTTCAATGTTGTACTTCTCCATCGCTTGTGTGGCACAGTCCACAGCATCCTGCTGCATGTCCTCGGACATGTCAGCATTCTTGATCACAGCCTTTCTGTCAGACATAATGTACCTAAAAACAGAAAATGAAGACATGTTAGCTTTCAGGCACACCATCCGAATTCTTCACAGCAAGTCTTGTAGAGAACAAACAGGCACACACCAAGTTAAATAGTCTATGTAAAATGGGATTTAAGAAAAGAAAAAACTGCACTGACTGCTGGCAGCAAGTCAGCATTTAAAGGAAAAAAACCTCCGTTGTACTGAATACCTAGAGCACCCAGTAAATATGCATCATTGCAAGGCATTTCAAAATTTGATCATTGGGATTATTACCCCCCCCCCGTTTTACTGGGATACAGACAGACTACATTGAGGACCTTGCATCCATCCCTGTACACTTCAGCCAGTCATTGATTTTGAACTGGCTGCATGGAACACATGCAACTCAGGAATAAAGACATCACCTTCTGCACGCTGTTTAGACATCTGCAGCCATGTGAAGGAGTCCTTACTCATCAAAACCTAAAATTCCAACTGCCTAGTGTAGACTACAATACAGCTGCTGATGTTTGTACATACCCTGCACAATCACTTTGTCAGCAACAGGTTACTTATAAAATTTAGCAGCTGAACTTCATCAGAAGTGTTTCACGTGACGAGAGAATCATACGAGAGATCACACGAGCACCAAACAGTGCAAAGTTAGTCTGGAACAAAATAGCATACCCAAGACTGTAGCCACCTAATGTTATATTAGTTGTATATCTTTAGTCAGCCATGAGGATTACGATTGCGGGAATGAAGCTGAAATGTATAACCTGGAGGCAATTCGGCAACATCTACAAAAGGAACTATGGGCAAAATAAAAGATGCAGCAATCCCCGCATTTAGCCCCCCTGTAACAGTTTCATTACCTTGTGATCTGGTCAGTAGCTCTCTTTTTTTTTTAAAACTTCCTTTATTAGACCAAGCTGACCAGCAAAAGTGGAAGTTAGAAAGTTAAGAAAAAACATTTAACACTGACGGGAGCGCTTACAATAGTCAGCTTTTATTCATTTAGTTTGCCCTTTATGAAAGAAGAGGAAAAAAAAAAAAAGAAAAGGAAAAAAAAAAAAAGGGACTACTTAAAAGCCGGAGCTAAAAGTTTATAGGCCACTTATAAAAATACACCTAGATCTACTAACCCACCTCCACAGGTAGACAATGCTGCTGTCCAAGTGTGACTACACTGCTCTCCTATAGATACAGTAGAGGGTTGAGTGTAGCCACCCTCAAGCTGGCCCTACACCAGCGGAATACCAGTCAAAAAGTTAATTTTTTTAAACATTCCTTTGATTCTCTAGTGGTTAGCGGGGTCAATGCGATTGACCATAGGGGAGACATTGTAAGGCGAAGGATGGAATCCTTCTCTGGTTTCTTTTCTGAAACAATGACATTCTAGCCATGAATGCGATTTCCCATCTAGGAAAGGTCATACAATTTGTAATGTGCATGTGCCAGGCAAAGTTCTAATCCTGCAGGAAACTTTCTTGATTATGAATATTCATGCTTTTAAAACAATTAGGGTATAGGATAGCATAAAAAACTCAAAAGGTTTCTGGATAATGCATGCAAAACTGGATTTAGAATTGGATTCTAGCATTTGTGTACACAGCATGTCCACTATAACATTATGGGCTTATGAAGGAATCGATTTTTTGAATGTACAACATACTTCGAAATGTAGATAAACCATACTTTGCATTATTCTTTTGTTGATCTCATAATCATACAAGATATCCATTTACTATGCCTGGGATTCCATGCAAGCCACAGATCTGGATGCAGTTGTTTATAAAGCTAAACTCTAAAATAAGCAAACATGTCTAAATACAAGAGGCATGTGTGTTCTTATTTCAAACATCGTGCGCTTTGATCTTTTTTCTGCAGTAATTCTATGCAAAAAAAAAAAAAAAATTCCTCTGTGCAGGAGCTTCCTGTAACAAAGACCAGTCACTGCTACTCACTCTCCTTGTGCAGGGTGACTGGTCCTGTATCCACCCCTTACTGTAGTTTCCTGCAGGCAGCCTGTTTTGGGGTGGGGTCTGCTGGGCCCCCTCCCACAGCCATACTTATGAACAAGTAGAATGATGACGCCACTGCCAGATGGCAATATCCTTGTTTGCAAAGGCACACAGAGGATTTACATCTTTTGAAAAATGTTTCAATAAGAGTTTGTGCCCAGAGCTCAGCTTTAAAAAAGGCAAGAAGTTGACTCGATGACAAACGATATTTCAGAAAAACAAATGTCTTACTGGATGATCACCAGAAAAGAAAACTAATGCAGCCACAACACCCAAGGGTTGGTAAGCTGGAACAGATTACATTTCTGGGGTTTAAAACATAACAGGATTGACAGCCATGTGTTGCTTCGAAATCAAGCACTGAGCTTCCATGTGAACAATGCTGGAAACGTGGGTGTAGAACAAAGTGAGAGACTTATTGGTTGTCAGTTTGTGACTAGGTCCATCAAAACCACCTTTGAAGTCCTGGGGCGAGCCCTAGCCCCAGAACTACAGAAGTGTAATCCTAGATAGTAGCTGACCTCTGGTGATAAGATGGACTGGCACACTGCAATAACATTTGTGGACAGGTAATAGGGAGGTAGGTCTACCTATGATGATGCAGCTGGTTTATGTGATATACATGACCCACCCCAAAAAGGTTAGCTGGGCCACGAAGCGTTATACATATGAAGACCAATCGGTGCCCCCTCCCGAAACAAAATTACATAACAAGAAGGCATGCACAAGCAATCGTGCATTCCAATTCATATATACACATTAT